TACTTCTTAGAGTCTTTGAACTTTATTTCCATTTAATGTACAGATGATTAGAGAGGAATTTAGAAAACCACAAGGAATCTGATTCATATTCGTTTATGAACATATTTTTCCCAAAGAAAAAAAACATGAATATAATGAATTTTATAAGTATTTTAATTATGGCATGGTGGGTAGCTGCCACTTCTAACACCAGCCTCCCCTATGCATGCAGTTTGTGTCCCAGCTGTTCCATTTCTGGATTACCTCCCTGTTGTCTGGAAAATAGCAACAGAAGTTAGCACCAGTGTGTGGGCTGCTGCCACCCAGATGAGGCTGATGGCTCCAGCCTAGCTCAGCACTGGCCTTTGTAGCCATCCAGGGAGTGAACCAGGAGATGGAAGAGCAATGTGTGTGTGTGTGTGTTCCTTTTTATTGCTTTTTCAGAATAGAGGCTAAATCTTTTAACTTGTATTGTAAATTTGATTTCAAAACTTCCTTGATACATGGAGTTTCTTTTTAAGAGGACTCTATACATGTGAGCCATTCAGAGAGAACTTACAATATATTTCAGAATTAGTAGTTGAATTGTACAATTCAAAATTCAAAATAATCCCAGAAAACCCAGAAAATAAGAGGAAAGGTTTTAGTTTTATCTTAGGACATTTTAAGTATAGACGGACATGCATGGGAAATGTACTTTAAATCTAAAGATTTATGGGAATGTATAAGATAAATATTATTTAAAATTACATAATTCAGAGAAGAGAATGCAAAGAATATGGGACGTCTTCCAGTGCTGGCACAAACCTACTTAGAGAATTCATACTGAGAAGAAGCCTTATATCTGTAATATGTGTGAAAATCCACTCAACTTTAACTGCTACCCAATTACACATGAAAGAACCTATCCTGAGAAACATTGTAAATGCAATAATTGTAGGAAAACATGCAGTTTTATATCTTATCCTACTCAGTTGATTCTATTCATATTTTGAAGAAATCTTATCACTATAAGGAATATGGAAAGATCTTAAAAAATAACTTGATTTGAATCACATCAAGAAATTTGTATTGGAGATCAAATGAGTGTAAAGAAGGTGGAAAATCCAATTCAAGGCAAAACTCAATAAACATCAGACAACTTACAGAGGAAAGAAACTCTTTGAATGATACAAACATTGAAAATTTTCTCAGATTCCAAATCTTATTATTTGATAAAGAGTCATAATATGGGAACACCGTGAAGGTAAGAAATGTGGGGAAGCCTTGGTTATATATACAGCATATACTGTATGTGAGAGAATTCATACAGGAAAAAAATTTCTCAGAATATGAGAAAGTATCCCAAGAAATCATGCATGTAATTATCTGTAAGAACATTTGAGATTTTGCATGTCAGTATGCAAAGGATATGGAGCAAACTTAAAAAATACATCTCATTAGATATCAGAGAATTCATACTGAAGGGCATATTATGAATATAAGGAAGGTGGAAAAGCCTTTTTTCAGAGTTTTATTTTCACACAGCATTAGAGAATTCCTATTACCAACAGGAGAAATAGAGCTCATCAATGAGGGAAAGCCTACAATACAAGTGCAAACCTAATTAAGCATATGAGTATAAAAATATGGGAATAAAGAATGTGGGGAAAATTCTAACTCCATTATAAATCAAATAAAACCATGTAGAATAAAAAAAGGCAAGGAAACCTGTAAGCATAGGAATGACCTGAAGTGCAGATTTAAACACTAGAGAACTCACATAGAAATAAAGTTTTAAAATGTACTCAGTGTGGAAAAATTTTCAATAATAAATACTTTATTAACTACCAGAGTTCATACTGGGGAATCAATGCAAAGAGGGGATATATGAAGCATTGGTTGAAAATTAAGAATTAATGTATCGAATCAATACTCTACATATATTTTTCATAAAAAAAGAATGAGAACCAAATCAAGCAGAAAAATGTAATGGAAAGCAAATATCAATGCCCTTAAAAAGAATAGAAATAACCAATGAAAAAAAAAATAAACCACTAGACAGAATTACTAACATGAAACTGAAAGCAGAGACTAAGAATCCTAAAGGTATTAAATGAAAATAAAATAACACTGAGAAGTATTTTGTCCATAGAAAATACTATGGCTATAGATTGTATAACCTGGATTAACAAAATTCTTAGAAACAAACTCTCCAGGCTTAAGAAGAAAGAACCTATATAGTGTTGCATCTTTTTTTTAATTAAAAGATTTATTTATTTTTATTGGAAATGCAGATCAAATTTATGGAGAGGAGTGACAGAGAGAAAGATCTTCCATCAGCTGTTTCACTCCCCAAATGTCTCCCATGGCCATGACTGAGCCAATCAAAAGCCAGGAACCAGGAGCTTCTTCCAAGTATCCCACACAAATGCAGGATTCCAAGGTTTTGGGCCACCCTCTACTGCTTTACCAGGCCACAAGAATGGAGCTGGATATGAAATGGAGCAGCTGGGACATGAACTTGCAACCACATGGGATTCCAGCGTTGCAAGGTGAGGATTTGACCCTTGAGCCACTGCGCTGTGCCCAGTGTATGTTTTTTAAAAATACATTTCACAGGTAACAACTTGAGCATGGAAACTGAATGCACAGATAACTTTACTAGAGAATTATATCAAATATTATACAAGAAATACTAGATTTATAGAAACTTCTCCAGAAAATGTAAAAGGAAGAATAACTTCAAATGTGTCAGTGCAGAATGGAGAGTACAAAGTGGATCTGGATAGGGCAATACAATTGGTACAGGATCCAAAATGATCCAATAGGGAATTTGAACTGCACCTCAGTCCTTCTGCTTATATGTCTGTCCTATATCCTTGGGTGTCCTACTTGCCTCTTTGTATCCTATTAGGTTATCTACAGAGTAAATATAAATGATTTTTTTTAAAGAATTATTTTTATTATTTTTTTTTTATCGGAAAGGCAGATATACAGAGAGGAGAGACAAAGAGGAAGATCTTCCGTCCGATGATTCACTCCTCAAGTGAGTACAACGGGCCGATACTATGCCGATCCAAAGCCAGGAGCCTCTTCCGGGTCTCCCACGCGGGTGCAGGGTCCCAAGGCTTTGGGCTGTCCTCGACTGCTTTCCCAGGCCACAGGCAGGGAGCTGGAAGGGAAGCGGGGCTGCCGGGATTAGAACCGTCGCCCATATGGGATCCCAGGTGTACAAGGCGAGGACCTTTAACCACTTGCGCCACCGCGCCGGGCCCTATAAATGATTTTTAAAGTTAGTGAGTTGATTTCACTTGGTGATACTTGGTTTCTTTGCTTTGTAGTGTTAGTGATTCCCAAAATGTGATATTTCATAGGAGCAGCATTAGCATATCTTAGCATTTGTTAGAAATAAAATTTCTTGGGCTCTCTTCCAGGCCCAATAAGGCAAAACATTTGGGAGAGGCACAGCATTTTTTTACTTCTAATAAGCACTTTAATTTTGATGCATATTTTTGATCCCTTGATCTTGTCTGACACCTCGGCTTCCCAGCTTTCATTATCTATAACATTGGCCTTACTGCACAGGGGTTGTGGCACAGTATCCTGTGGCTAGTCCTTGTTGGAGTCCCAGCTATTCTGCTTCCAGTCCAGCTTCCTGCTAATGCATCCTGGAAAGCAGCTGATGATGGCTCAGCTGAGACTCTCACTGACATAGGAGACCTGGACGGACTTCTAGGTCGAGCCCACATGTTATGGGAATTTAGAAGACTCCTTGCTCCTAGGAAAAAATGTATGTTTAACTGAGTTAGACACCTCAGTAGTTTTATTAGTAAGAGCTTGGAGAATCAGGAGTGGGAATATATTTCAATGATAGACCAAATATAAATTACTATTATTGAATTCACAGTCACAAGCGCAAACATTTGAGAACTGGGATTTAAGTATTGTCATGGAACTTCACAAAAATAGCTTTTTCTGTAAAGTTAGCTCATTAAATCCTCAATACCAAGTTCTTCATTTAAGCCAGGAGTATCCTCTTGCTCTTCTATGTGGGTGGAAGGGATCCAAATATTTGGACCACCTTCTTTTGCTTTTCCTAGGTCATTATTAGAAAGTTGGATCATAAGATTATCAGTAGGGATTTGAACTGCTTCCCATTTGGAATGCTGGCATCAGAGGCAGTAGATGCACCTGCTATGCCACAATGATAGCCACAAAAGATCATTTAAAAGATGGAAACAGGACTTTTATTTTGTGACTTGATAATATTTGAAAAACCACAGCTTATAAAAAGAATTAGGTTTAAAATATCTAAAAAATCAGAATCCATTTTACTTACTGTATCAATAAGCATTTTGATAAATTAAGAATTTTTATCAGAGTTTTTCTCATTAGGATCCTCAAAAAGTTACCTTATATTTGTATGAATTTCAATATAAAATTACGTGTGGGGTTTTGTCCTAATACAGTATGACATAAAGAACAAACAAATAAGACTTATTTTGCGTGCTTATCAAATATTAATGGAGGTCTAACCCAGTATGAATTTTCTATTTTTGAATAGGCTATAATATTTGAATAAAAGTTACCATTAGCACTTGTTGGGAATTTGTCTAGCATGAATTTTCCTGGGTGGATTAGCACATGTTATTTGGCTCAAGGAAACCCATGAGATTCAGGAGTCACTTTATTTAGTAGGCAATTTTGGTCCATAGTGCATAAGGACGTTTTATTGAATCCATAATGTCTCAGATATTCACTACCCTTAAGGTTATGGATATCTATCCAGTTGGATACCCTAAACACTTTAAATAAACCAGATTATAAAAATACATATCCATTAACAACATCTCCACCTACAATGGCAGTTGACAACTCCATCCATATTGTACCCACATTCAGCACCAGAAAAGTCAGAGATGTCAGGGATGGATGAAACTGGCCATCAGTGTAGTCTCTGCCATTAACTCAGACATGTCAGTCCATTAGAATTCTTCTCTCATTCTCATAAACTCATGGTTTCTTGAGAACTTTTAATGTTCACTAAGTTTTATTAAACATCAAACCCATAGCTATAATGTTGATTTTCAAAAAATTAGGTAAATACAGTATGCTAAACATCCCTACAATAAACTAGAAAAATGTGAAAGTAATGGATATCAAAAAAGATAAACAAAGACTTGTGAAATTATGGGTAAGTGAAAAATTCTTTGCTTCATTTGAAAGACCAAAAACAGCTCCCTCAAAAAATACATAAAAACAAACGTTTCTCCAATATTAATTGACATACCATAACAAAATAAAATCTAACAATTATTTTCTTGTTAATACTATATTCATGTGCTACCGTACAACAAAAATTCACAAATGCTAATGAATTCGGCACTCTGATAGAAGGTGATCCCATATTTCTTCTGTGTCAGGGTTTACCTTGAGTGTGAAGTTTCTGATGCTTACGAAGATTCGAATGGCTGTAGAAAGTTTTCTTACATTCCTGACAGGTGAATGGCTTTTCTCCTGTATGAATCAACTGGTGTCGAATAAGGAAGGAGCTGTACTTGAAGCATTTTCCACAGTCCACACATTCATACCGATTACCTCCAGAACACAGTCTTGCATTTCTGTTATGATCTACACTCTTCTCAAAGGCTTTCCCACATTTCTTGCTTTGGCAAACCTTTGCTGCAGAGTGAATTTTTTGATGCTTAGAAAGGTTTGCACGTTGGTTGAAGAACTTCCCACACTCACTACATTCATAGGGTTTCTCTCCTGTGTGAATGATCTGATGTCGATTACGGGATGAACTCTGGCTAAAGGCTTTTCCACATTGGTAACAATAGTAAGAATTCACTGCATTATGACTCTTATTACGCCAATGAGGAGTAGTTGTACATGGGCTCAAGACATTTCCACAGTTATCAGGCTCTGAATACTGCCTATCTCCTGAACCTAAGTTAACCTTCAAGTTAGTTTTAACCTTTACTTCCTTTGGGCATCTATTTCTTACAGGAATTCCCTCTTGTATTTCACAGATAGAGTTAACTGACTTAACACTAAAGCTTCCCTTTTTTTCATCACAATCAGATTCACAGATGAAAGGTTCTTGTGGCAAAATTATATCCTGTTTGTTCTGGTTCCAATGTAATGAGTCCTCATTGCTCCAAATAACCAAGGAAGGCTGTGCAGGCTTGGTAAGCTTTGTCACATTTAGTCCAGGTGACTCTTCTCCAGAAACTCTCTGATTTGGAACTAAATGTTCATCTTCTGGAACAGCCTCCATGTCTAAAAAGAAATGAAAATCTACATGAACTATGAGAAATAGCTTAACTGGGAATTGGAGACTAAGTAATGTAAGGTTATATACACTTATCACAGGTCTTAAAGTACAACATGGAAATGTGAGGCAAGGTTTGAAAAGGAGACATAGGTAAAAGGCACAGAAGTGTTAAGGGAGGTTAGGAAATCATAAAACTCAATTAGACCCATTTAGAAACATTAAGGAGATCGAGAAGGGCTCTGAGTAAAACATCAACGTATGTTCAGGAATGGAGAGTGTAGTTCAAGACATCACCAGTTTGTGGCCAGTGTTGTGGTGTAGTGGGTAGAGCGGCATCCCAAACTGGTGCTGGTTGGAATCTTAATTGTTGTACTTCTTATCAAGCTGCTTGCTAATGTAATTTGGGGAGGGCAATTGGGGGGTGTCCCTGCATGCATGTGACAGACCCAGAGGAAGCTTCTGGTTCCTGGCTTTGGATGGCTCAGTTCTGGCCACTACAGCCCAGCCAACTGAGTAGTGAACCAGAAGGTGGGAGACCTCTGTATTTCCCTGTCTCTCAAAACTCTTTCCCTTCGAATAAATAAATATTGAAACATAATTTTCATTTGTTTATCACTGGTCTGTCAAAGTTATATTTATCATCCATTTATGGCATCTTGATCTTTTCTCCCGTAGTCTATCAATAAGAAACTTCCCTTTCTGAAATAGTCAATGTAATCCTAAATTTAAGAAACTTCTATTTTTCCTTACATCATAAGTTAATCTGCTAAAAGCAAACTTTATATCTTGGTGACCCTAATTTTACAACAGCAATTACTTCCTCTAAACTTGAATACTATCTCTGAGCTCAAAATATCTCCTAATTATAACATAATTACTTTTTATGCTTTTTTTTTCAACTTACTTCTTAGAACTATAAAACATTTTATATTTTGATAAGGCTGAATTCGCTTCTATTCTAATGTCTTCGATGTCCCTGTTATACTTAGTAATGTTATTTCCCTTCTCAAAATTCCATTGTCTTATATATGCTAACAATTTTTTAAAATTTAAATTTTATTGACCTCTGTATTCTTTTGCATTCAACTTTAAGCATTCCTAATGATTTTATCCCCTCTACTTCACTAGTAGGCAAATGACATCTTCAGGTTGGCACTCGTGTATTACTGCCCTTTATTTTGGCTAGTTTCTATAACATCTCCACTTGGTTATCTTACTTTATTCCAACTTAGTAGGAAATAAATTATCATCTATTTTGTCTTCATTTTGTTCAATAAAACATTGCTCCTCTGATTTATAATAAAGTCCATGAAGAAATCTTGAATAACTTGTGTAGTTATATCTCCTTAACTAGTGCTTAGGTAACATTATTTCATAAAGTTTCTTTTATCTCAAACCAGCTGCAATGTTAACTCAAGCTTTGTTGAATATAGATCAGTTCCTCCTGGGTTTGTCTAATTTCTTGCAGAGATTATCATTTGGTACTATAGCACTCTAACTGGGAGCTCAAATACTAAATCAGAATTTCTTGGGCAAAGTCTATGAATATGTCAGTTTAACAGAGGTATACAGTTTCCCTGACTCAGGATATGTATAACAGGTGTTTGGGTGGATAACCTTGTTGCTTTAATTCACTGTCAAGAAGGAGAAGTGAGAGAAAAGGGAAACTATTCTAAGCCTGGTACCTACTTCAGATAGGAAGATCCTGGAATTCAACCTTGCTTGTACCATGAGATGAGACTTTTGCACTGTTAGAGAACAGTAAATTCTCAGATGTTATACAAGGCCAAGAGCACAGATAATCTGTGTTTAGTGGATATACTATGCCTGTAGATTCTTTGTGACTATTTCCAGACCGAACTAAAGTTTATTTTTCTACCTAGTCAACAGGACAGGGGAGAGAGACACAATACCACTTTCAAGGCTGTATAATGACAATTTCAGTTTCCTCTCAGGATGTTTCTTTTTAGGATCTGACCACCTTGCTATGGGAAGCCTAAGCCTTAAGGGAGTGCCACATATAAATGCTCTGACCAACAGGACCAGGTTAAGTTCCCAGGGGAAGCTAGCATCATCTTCCAGTTAAGCAATTTACCATTTTGGGCCTTGTGTCTCATTCAAGCCCCTGACACACTGCATTCTGGTCAACATCATATGGAGCATAAAATGCCTAAAGAATTCACAAAATTTAAACACTGATGAATAATCATGCTTTTCAGTAACTCTGTTTCAGAGTAATTTGTCAGAAGCAATAACTTAAACAGTAATTGCTTGAGGACTGTTTATTCAACAGCAAACTTCCTAACTGCTTTTTCCTACCTAGATTTTGTTGTTCTTATATTTGTACAGTTTTATGTCATTTTCTCGTACCTGGTTTTAAGATCACTTTCAGTTTGTTTGTTTTTTTTAATGTATTTATCTATTTTTCTTGAAAGAGTTGCATAGAGAGACAGAGAAATCTTCTATCTGCTGCTTTCCTCCATAAATGTTTGCAACAGGCAAAGATGGACTGTTCCAAAACCGGGAACCAAGAGCTTCTTCTGGGTCTCCCAACTTTTGCAACCACCCAAGGTCTTGGGCCATCTACCCCTGATCTTATCACTTCCCCCATTCCCATCGGCCCTTCTTTGTAATCAGAGGCCTACGTGAGTCTGCAAATTCCTAATCTTTGTAATAAATATTTTAAAACCTCAAAAAATTTTAAAAATGAGTGAATAATTCAAGAAAAATATGCAGTGTTTGCTGGAGTGATATTAAAATTCTTAAGAGCATTAATTGCCTACATAATCTTATATTTCAAGATGGGTAAATATATTTACATGCTTTGATATGAAAATGTATCTGAAGAAAGTGATCAGACACATGTCAATTACTAGCACATTCTGGACACCCATCAGTGGTAAGATATATTTATATGCTATGTCTATGAGGGAATGCTACATGTGATGTAGAAACTATAATTTCCATGAACATTAACTGAAACAGATAATAACATATCCCATATTTCTTCTGTGTCAGGGTTTACCTTGAGTGTGAAGTTTCTGATGCTTATGAAGATTCGAATGGCTGTAGAAAGTTTTCTTACATTCCTGACAGGTGAATGGCTTTTCTCCTGTATAAATTAACTGGTGTCGAATAAGGAAGGAGCTGTACTTGAAGCATTTTCCACAGTCCACACATTCATACCGATTACCTCCAGAACACAGTCTTGCATTTCTGTTGTGATCTACACTCTTCTCAAAGGCTTTCCCACATTTCTTGCTTTGGCAAACCTTTGCTGCAGAGTGAATTTTTTGATGCTTAGAAAGGTTTGCACGTTGGTTGAAGAACTTCCCACACTCACTACATTCATAGGGTTTCTCTCCTGTGTGAATGATCTGATGTCGATTACGGGATGAACTCTGGCTAAAGGCTTTTCCACATTGGTAACAATAGTAAGAATTCACTGCATTATGACTCTTATTACGCCAATGAGGAGTAGTTGTACATGGGCTCAAGACATTTCCACAGTTATTAGGCTCTGAATACTGCCTATCTCCTGAACCTAAGTTAACCTTCAAGTTAGTTTTAACCTTTACTTCCTTTGGGCATCTATTTCTTACAGGAATTCCCTCTTGTATTTCACAGATAGAGTTAACTGACTTAACACTAAAGCTTCCCTTTTTTTCATCACAATCAGATTCACAGATGAAAGGTTCTTGTGGCAAAATTATATCCTGTTTGTTCTGGTTCCAATGTAATGAGTCCTCATTGCTCCAAATAACCAAGGAAGGCTGTGCAGGCTTGGTAAGCTTTGTCACATTTAGTCCAGGTGACTCTTCTCCAGAAACTCTCTGATTTGGAACTAAATGTTCATCTTCTGGAACGGCCTCCATGTCTAAAAAGAAATGAAAATCTACATGAACTATGAGAAATAGCTTAACTGGGAATTGGAGACTAAGTAATGTAAGGTTATATACACTTATCACAGGTCTTAAAGTACAACATGGAAATGTGAGGCAAGGTTTGAAAAGGAGACATAGGTAAAAGGCACAGAAGTGTTAAGGGAGGTTAGGAAATCATAAAACTCAATTAGACCCATTTAGAAACATTAAGGAGATCGAGAAGGGCTCTGAATAAAACATCAACGTATGTTCAGGAATGGAGAGTGTAGTTCAAGACATCACCAGTTTGTGGCCAGTGTTGTGGTGTAGTGGGTAGAGCGGCATCCCAAACTGGTGCTGGTTGGAATCTTAATTGTTGTACTTCTTATCAAGCTGCTTGCTAATGTAATTTGGGGAGGGCAATTGGGGGGTGTCCCTGCATGCATGTGACAGACCCGGAGGAAGCTTCTGGCTCCTGCCTTTGGATGGCTCAGTTCTGGCCACTACAGCCCAGCCAACTGAGTAGTGAACCAGAAGGTGGGAGACCTCTGTATTTCCCTGTCTCTCAAAACTCTTTCCCTTCGAATAAATAAATATTGAAACATTAGTGATAAGTTATATACCGTGAGTTATATAGTGGGAGTTATATATTTGTTATATATATATATGCATATATATGTTACATATATGCACTCTGTTTCAGAATATATTTCAGAAGCAATAACTAAAGCAATAATTGCTTGAGTACTGATTTTCTTTTTTTTTAAGTTTTTTTTTTTTAATTACAAAGTCAGATATACAGAGAGGAGGAGAGATAGAGAGGAAGAACATCTGTTGATGATTCACTCCCCAAGTGAGCACAGGGGCCGGTGCTATGCCGAACTGAAGCCAAGAGCCGGGAGCCAGGAGTCTCCTGAGTCTCCCACATGGGTGCAGGGTCCCAAGGCTTTGGGCCATCCTAGACTGCTTTCTCATGCCACAAGCAGGGAGCTGGATGGGAAGTGGAGCTGGCACCCATATGGGATCCTGGCACATTTAAGGCAAGGACTTTAGCCACTAAGCCACGCCTTTGGGCCCTGAGTACTGATTTTCAACAGCAAAATTTGCTAACTGCTTTTTTCCCATGTAAATTTTGTTGTTCTCATATTTGTAAAACTCAGTTTTGCTTGATTTTCACATCCATTATTTTATAATTTCTGTCTCTGCTTTTCTCAATGAATGAGATCTATATTTCCAATATAAGTGTATAAGCATTGTCTCTTATTATCTGAAGATTTTTTTTTATTTTTAGTGAAAGGCGGATTTTACAAATAGAAGGCAATACAGAGGGACAGAACTGTCTGCTGGTTCACTACTGAAGGGCCTGCCATGGCCAGAGCTGAGCTGATCTGAAGCCAAAGGCAGGGGCTTCTTCTTGGTCTCCCATGCAGTTGTGGGTCACAAGGCTTTGGAACATCCTCTGTTGCTTTTCCAGGCCATAAGCAGCGAACTGGATGGGAAGTGGTGCAGCCAGAACATGATCCAGTGCCCTTGTGGGATCCTGGGTGTACAAGGCATGGGTTCAGCCAGTAAGCCATCAAGCTGAGCCCTAAATCATCATCATCTTCTTTAAAAAAAAAATAAAATGATTTTAACACTTCAGGTACAGACACTAGGAAAATCTTTGCTACAATGGTCACAGGATATGTAAAAACCGAACCACCCCCCCGACAAATGAACACTAGTACTATAGATCCGAACGAACAGTAGAGGAAGAAGCTAACAAAATACAGTTTCTGTGAATCTACAGATACTACCTTTATGCAGTGAATTTAGGTTCCTGTAATTTTCCAGCATCACGTCCCTGTACAAGTTCTTTCCAGCAGAGTCTAGCTGCTTCCATTCTTCCTTGCTGAATTCCACAACCACATCTTTGAATGTCAATGGCTCCTAAAACACAAGGTCACTCCCAAACACATTATCACATAAGGGATGATTTTATAAAGAATAAGTTAGGAGTCAGAATCTATAAGAAACTGATAAGAGAGTGTTTATGGTTCTGAGTAATGAAGAGCAAGTTGTATTAAGGTCCAATCAACTTGATACTACACACACATAACACAGAAATATACACGTTTTGAGAGTTGCAAAGAGTAAATTAAATACAGACTTTATTCTATATTAGTACACACTTTGAGGAGAAAAGGATGATTTGCAATATCTGTATACATTAGAGTACAAAGAATTTACATGCAAGTTATTCAGAATAGAAAGAGTATTAGGTAGATTAAAGGGATAGTGTAGGAAGAAGAGGTAGAAGATGGCCTTTGGTGATTTCTGCTATTATTCATATCTCTTATTTCATTGTCAATATGTCAAGGAGGCTTGATGGCCTCATTTTTCAAAGCAGCCTCCCTTTCTAATTTGTCCTTAGTGCATTATGTTTCTTTTATTGTAGTAATTATTATTGTCTGTAGTTATCTTATTTCCATGCATACCTCTACTGGAATGTAGTAAATGGAAAGTGGGGATTTTAATTATGAATAATATTCTCAGCCCTCAGAAGTGCCTAGTACATGAGGCATTGTAAAGTATCTGTTATTAAGTGACAGTTCAAACACAGAAAAGTGAAAAGCAGGTCATGTTTAAAAGGAGCATATGTGTCCATCAAAGAGTAGGATCATCCTAACTCACCTGGGGCTCGCCTGTGAGCGAGTCAGCTTCCATGCTTTCTTTCTTGATGATCCGCTTCTGGAGGACAGAGTCCTTGCAGGGAATCTCTGAAGAAGGTGAGGAAAAATAACAGGGAGACAAACTTTACCGAAAACTAACTTTGAACATGTCATTCAGAGAAATCATCCGTAGAATGCTGAGAAAAATGATGCCAGCATCACAGGTTGCAGCCTAATCCTCTATACCGCAGTGCTGTCCATTTATTTTACATTTAGATAAGGACTAAATCTTATCACAATACCAATACAATCCTTGTTTTCAATAATTCCTTGCCAAAATATCAATTGTTCGGTGTAGTAAATGTCCATATATTTATATGATAGTCTGACAGTTCCTCTTCATCTTTTAAGTCCTTCTGCCATCCTCCTCCCTGCTCCCTTATAGTGAGGGCTTAGAGCAGGGAGGAGGATGTCATGAAGCTTCCCACAGTTGGATTTTATTAATGGTAAAATTATGATATAGTTTAGCATGTTCCTTTATCTTTTGTATGAGCATGTCCTATAACTAGCAGTGAGATTTAGATCTTAAATATTGGTAGTACTTAAGGACCTACTTCTGCTTTCACTTCAATGTTCTCTTTCTGAATGTTAAAACCACACCTAACTTTATCCAAATTATTAACCACCACCACTCCTCCCCCAACACACAGTTCCTTCACTGTGGATGTGTCAAAAAGACCTCAAATTCATCAAGTAATGTATGTAATTTATTATTCTTCCCATGCCACCCAGTCAAGCAAAATTTGCTACTTTTGTTCCATTCATATAAGCCAGAATATGTGAATTTACTTCAACCTTTATTCTGTAAACATCTTATACTTGTATGTGGTAATTCCTTTATATTCAAACTTTTCTCGATGCTTCCCTATTCTTAATGCTGTCTTATTTGTAATTTTATTACTAGTCTATTAATAAGACTTGGTTATTTATTACTAGTCTATTGAAGACTTGGTTATCTTTTTCTGTAAAGGGTCAGACAGTAAATATATTAGGTTTTGCAGACAATACAGTGTATGCTATAATTACTCAGCTCTGGGGACATCACATGGGAGCCACCATGGAGAAAATGGAGACAAACAGATTTGGTTGTGTAGGTCTTAGTCTGCCAATCCCTGCCGCAAGGTGATGCCACTTTGGTATTTTGAAAAGACAAATGAGAGGCCAGTGTGATGCCTCATCAGGCTAATTCTCTGCCTGCTAGCCTGGCATCCTATGTGGACACCAGTTCATCTTCCAGCTGTTCCACTTTCAGTATGGCTCCCTACTTATAGACAGGAAAAACAGCACAGGATGGCCCAAGTCCTTGGGTCCCTGAACCAGATGGGAAGTCGAGAAGACATTCCTGGCTCCTGGAATCGAATCAGCTCAGCCCTGGACCTTGTGGCCAGTTGGGAATGAACCAGCAAATGGAAGACCTCTCTCTCTGTCTCTCCTTCTCTCTCTGTAAAATCTGCCTTTCAAATAAAAATACACTTGCTTAAAAGGCAAATGAAAATGGGTTACTCACTCTCTCCACTCTATTTCCATTATCTATAAAATAAATGTCAAGCTTCCTAAAAGAAATGCAGTCTTTCAAAGTCTGGCACAAGATATTCTCAGCACTCAACAAAGAACACTTCTCTGTATGTGTGAAGGCTCAGCTATCCGAATATTCTACATTCTTACCTTCATTTTTTAGTATTTCAGTCACATCTTCAATGAGGGTAAGCACATCGTTGCTGTTCTCTGGGCGCTGTATATTGACCCAAGTCTTAACCTCTTCAGGAACAATTGTTAGGAACTGCTCTACCACCAACAGTTTCAGAATCTGCTCCTTGGTATGAATCTCTGGTCGCAGCCACTGAAGACAGAGCTTCCAGAGTTGACTCAGGGTTTCATGGGGTTCACACATCTCCAAATACTGGAAATTCCTGAACCTCTGACGGGATGCCTCAGAGTCATGAGTTGCTGTGACAGAGATAGTTTCCCGTTGCCAAAGCACTTCTGCTGTCGGGGTCTCATTCTGTTCCTGAAGAGTGAGGCTCTGAGGCTCAGCGGTAGCCATCAACTGGTTCAGAAGCTGCACTTTCCTAAAGAAAACTTCCACCACAGTACAAATCCATCTTAGTAGAAAATTCCTGTGCTTCCCAGGCTGCCCTGGGCATGCAAACAGCACAGTATTGCTAGTTACCCAACAAACTGAAAAAAAAAAATCAAATAAACATGCATTAGCATAGTGTTAAAAGATAAAATAGCATAAATAATATTTTTAGATTTCCTAAGAAAAATGTATAGATTTGCTTTCAATTAAAAAAAAAAACTGTTTATTTACTTAGAGTCCTATAGGGCCCAACATGATAGCCTAGTGGCTAAACCCTCGTCTTAAAACTGCTGTGATTTCGTTGGGCACCAGTTTGTTTCCTGGCTGCTCCACTTCCCATCTAGCTTCCTGCTTGTGGCCTAGGAAAGCAGTCAAGGACGGCCCAAAGCCTTCAGATCATTTTCATGCATGGTAGATCCAGAAGAAACTCTTGGCTCCTGGATCTGGATTAGCTCAGCTTTGGTAGTTGTGGCCACTTGGGGAGTGAACCAGCAGATGTTTCTCTCTGTATCTAATTCTCTCTGTATATCTACTCTTCCAATAAAAACGAATTAATATTTTTTAAAAAGTTTGGGGAAAAAAAACTTACAGCAGGAGAGGAGAGGGAAGAAAGGAGGGAGAATAAAAAGAGGGAGAAGGGGAAGAATGGAAGAGAGGGGGAGACGGAGAAAGGGAGAGAGAAAGAGAATGAGAGGCAGAGAGAAAAGAATCTCCCATCTGCTAATTCGCTCCACAAATGACCACAATGACTGGGACTTGCTACTTGAGGCCAGGATACTGGACTCCATCTGGATCTCCCCATGACTGGCAAAGGCTCACTCACTCAGCCCCCTTTCCATTACCTTCCCAGGCTCTTTAGCAAGCCATATCATTAGCAGCCATATCTTGAACTGGCATTCAAACAGGATGCTGACATTGAAGGTGGTGACTTAATGCACTGTGCCGTAAGGTGGCTCCTGACTTTCCATGTGTGTTCTCCTTCTTAGAAAAAAATGTGCTTTTCTTTCTTCAAATAATCTTTCCCCATAAAACTCCAGAGAAACTAAAAACCAGATATCCAAAAACAAGTATTAAAGGAAACAGCCTTTTGATTAAAAAAAAAAATTCATGATTTAACTGCACGTGTGCCAAGTAACCATTTTGCTTTACAACTAAGCAAAACAAATATTTTAGCAGACTGCCCAGATTATTAACACTTCATATTGCACATGCACGGAAAATTTCTTTCCAAATTCTCATTAAAGCACCCATAAAATGATATAAATTGAATAAACTGACAATATTATCAGAAATGACCAAAAATATAAAACTATATTAATGATACATGAACTATTTCATCATTGTAGATCAATGGCAAAGTATATTCCCAGGCCACAAAAGTTGTCATTTGTTAGGACTTATAAGGCTCAAGTAAACACTCAGAGTCACAAGCAATTGTGCATCAAATCTGGCAGCAATTTACTCAGAAGCATGGTGGAAGAGTAACAGGTATTTCTATTCAATGGGAGTCTTAAGAAGAGTTGAGACCCACACAGAAGAACCCTGATGGAAAAGCCTGTCCACAGGAGCTAGTATCCATGGGAAAACTCCCTCAGCACAGGGCTCAGGGTCGCCCAACGAGTATGTCAGAGACATTATATTCAAAGATGTGCAGGCAATGCTTTCTGTTTAGTTCTCCCAATGCAAATGCAGTTTACCTTTGCAGTCATTTTTATCACAAGCCTTAAAGGACAGCAGTTTCCAGCCAGGGAACATTTTCCCATAGGAAAATTTGGAAACGTCTGGAGGCAATGTTGCCAGTCACTGCCATCTAGTGGCACATTTAATTCAGACGTCTGTACTTCATTTAAGATTTCGAAGAAACAATTCTGATAGCCAATCCAAGGCATGGCTTTGATGGAGTTGCTTAAACGGCCTGTGACTGAACACAGAAATTAAACTAAGCCAAGAACCTTTCAATTCACCCTAAGGCACTGGTGCTGAACACGGGGTAGTTAAGGCAGTGGGATTGCAAGGGCAGGACCAGAACCACACAGGTGAAAGGAACAGATTAATTCATTAATTCAACAGATTAACACACCCCGCACTTTCGATGGACTTTCAGGTTTTAAGGAAGCTGAGCAGTTGCAAATGGTGCAGGAAAGGCAGTATTAGTGGAAAGGGTTGTTTTAAATCAAACAGGTCACAAGGTAGAAAAGTCTTCAGAGATTACCTCAGCTACAAAAGACTGTCTAAAGCAAGTTATCTGTTGTAGGAAGGTAGCTGGGAATGGCTGGAAAAGCAAGGCAGGAAGGAGATAACCGAAGGAACCTCCACTTTCTTTCCCAGTTGATTGGGCCAGTTCACCCTGGCAAACCCCCAACCAGCTGTCAGTAGTCCAGAACAAAAAGCACAGAGTATCCAGTGAAATCCGTGGTGAGCAGCACTCAGTCCCGATCCGGGCTACCTTGTACCCGCGGCTCTGCGCCCTCCCTGAGGTCCTGGACCCACGCTGCCCAGGGCAGGGCTGGCACTGGGGGGACCTTAAACGCGCTGAGTCTCAGCACGGGTCCCAACTCCAACGCAGTGTAGCCTCGGTTCTCTCTGAGTCCAGAGGTGCTTGCTGGTAATGCTCCTGTCAATTCAAAACTGAGCCAGTTGCGGAGGCTCAGAGGAGGTGGCGTTGGTAACCGTCGGGAAATGGGTCAGCACGCGGACCTCAAACGCTGGAGCCTGGCTTTGGGCACAGTACACGCTCGTTAACCGCCTAAGTCCCTGAGGGTGGAGCTGTGGAGTGGGTGGGGGCCTTTCAAGTCCAGCCCCCACCGCTAGCCTCGCCTATCCATGGACTTGCCACCCTTAGGGACCAGGCTCATAGGGGACCTCAAAGCCTGGATCTATCATGAAACCCAACAGGAAAATCGGACAAAATCTTTTCAGGCCCCATTCCTCAAATACCTGGAAGCAAAAACATTGATATAATTTTGACAAGATACGTAATCTTGTGGATTGCAGGTTCTATGTTCCTTTGTGGATTCACAAAGTCATTTTTTAAAAAAGATTTATTTATTTATTGGAAAGGCAGATACACAGAGAGGAGGAGAGACAGAGAGGAAGATCTTCCGTCCAATGATTCACTCCCCAAGGGAGCACAACGGCCGATGCTATGCCGATCCGAGGCCAGGATCCAGGAACTTCTTCCGGGTATCCCACACGGGTGCAGGGTCCCAAGGCTTTGGGCAGTCCTCGACTGGATGGGAAGTGTAGCTTCCGGGATTAGAACGGGCGCCCATATGGGATCCCGGCGCGTTCAAGGTGAGGACTTTAGCCACTAGGCCACGCAGCCGGGCCCAAAGTCATTTGTTTTTAAAGCATGCTGCAGAACGTGAGCTCGTAGTTGCCTTATTGAGTAAGATACTTCGGTATCTAAGAAGCATCACCAGGCATTTAAATGTATTCTTTGGACCGGAGAAAAGTCTGGGGAGGGTCTGGCCTGTGGGGCCTGCGTTCCTTGTGGGCACTGGCTCAATCCCTGCAACTCCACTTCTTATCCAGACCCCTGCTTATGGTCTAGGAAAGCACAGAGCCTGGCACCCACCACCCACATGGGAGAGCCCTGGAAGAGACTCCTGGCTTCAGATCCGCTCAGCTCAACCACTGTAGTCATTTTGGTGAGTGAACTGGAGGGTGCAAGATCTTTCTCTCTTTTCTCTTTCTCCTTCTTTCTATAACTCTTTCAGATACAGATAATTAAATCACTTTTTAAAAAGAGATATTTGGTGTTAGGCATGTAAAATTTGTGGCGATTAGTGGGTAGAAGGAATTGATGCTCTAAGGTAATTTTTGAAGACATCTTTATTGAAATAGTTGTCACACTATGAGATTCATCTACTTGAAGTTTGCAATTCAATATGTTTAGCATCCTCACAGTATTGTACAACCAACCCACAGCCTGTACCTAGGATATTTTTCTCACTCCAAGTCCAAGAAAAGCTTTATTTTTTCCACCAGACAACTTTGCATTAAAAAGTTTATTCTGCTCATTTTCCTTTCTTTGCCTTTGTAGCCTTTGTACTTTATTTGCCAAAAACTAATTTCTGCCCTATCACTTCCCTAAAATAGATCTTTCTTTAATACAGCTTCAAGTGAGTGTTTAATCTTAATTTGGTACTCTCTGATATAACCCTTATGTCATTTATACATCTCTTTTGAAAATCACATTCATTTCCTGTGTATCACTTTGTCATGTGTTTCCTGCCTCTCTCAACATAGACTTCAAAGAGTTGCCACATAACTGTTTTATCCTTAAGAATATTGTGGTACCCAGAGTTGCTTTTAATGGAGCGGGGAAAGAGACAGAGACACAGAGAGACAGAAACAGACAGAGAGAGAATGAGTGGGACATAGATATCAACAAACTTGAGCCATTTCAAACTGTAAGATATGTCCGTGTTGATTTCTCAAAAGTCTCTAAAAACTGCATTCATTTTTATAAAGTAATTCAAAGGAATATTTTAACTCACATTAAAAACTAAACTTTATATTGTCTTCACCACATCTTTCTCTCAAACTGATTTTATCTTTCAGAGACTATTACTATTACCTACTCAAATCAAGCTTGGAATCTGATGTTCCATCATACGTTGGGAATGTAATAAAAAAGAAAACTCTAACCCAGTCAGAATTCCATTACCTCTTTGGGCCACACCGTGTCTTTAATAGAGTGAACAGAGACTATATGACTGCTAAATTTATTTGAGAGGCAGAAAGAGAAAGGGGACAAAAATGGGAGAGAAAAGGAGGGAAGGAAGGAAAGAAGGAAGGAACGGATGGAGGGAGAGAGGGAAGAAGGGGGGAGAATTATCCCGATCATGTGAGTCCTCTAAGTCAATAAAGAAACCGAGATCTGCAGAGGCAGAGAGAAGGAAAGAGGGACAGAAGGAGAAAGAATGAATCCCTAAGACCCACAAAGGGCCTGCAGTGTCCACTCAGCAGATTGAAAAACGTACATGTGAAAAATCTTAAGGGTTAAAGGAACTAATGTCTTGGGTTCAACAATGCCCATATTGGTTCCTGCTCTGTATTAGTCAGACTGGAAAAATTTTTTTGAAAATAAAAGGGATAGTTAATAAAACAAAAAGAGGTGGTAATTCAGAAACAATAAAACTCAAAACTAAGATGACAGAAAAAAGAAAAAGATAAAGAAAAAGATCATGGAGGAAATAAAAAAATCAGCTTTAAATGTTCAAATCTAATTATTTAAAATAATACAGTGTAGTCACTTCAACTGTATGTCAGAAATTATCCAACTGTATGTAAAACATAACCCAAATATATACCGTCCATGAGAAAAGCTTAGTAAATACAGACACAAATGTAGTAGATTTAAGTGTATCAAGCTAGTTTTAAGACATATTTTAAAAAGGTTTGTTAATAAAAATAACAGATTTTATGTATTTCATATGTACAGTTCCAAGGTTTTATGTGTTCAGATATAATTCAACAAAGCCATACTTTTTCTCTCCCTTCTTTCCATCCTTGTTTTCTTTCCTTTCTTCTATTTTTTTCCTTTCAAGTTTGCAATGGCATATTTTCAATTTGTCACCACAGGGGAAATGCTCAACTACCCTTAGTGTTCAAAAATAACACAAACAGCAAACCACTGTTCCACAGGAATAAAGGCAAAGACTACAAATAAGAATCAAATCCTAAGATGCCAGTTTTACTCTTATAAATTCAGTTTATTAAAGCTATTTACTAGTTGTCACATATCAGAGAAAACGTGGCATTTGTCCTTTTGGTGCTCGCTCTTTGCTCTAAGCACAAAGTTCTCCATTTGCATCCATTTTGTTCTTTTTATGACTGAATATATTTATATGCCACAGTTTCTTTATACAGTCATCAGTTGATGAATATGAGTTGAATCCATGGCTGAGCTATTGTGAATTAAGCTACTGTAAACATGGGTTGCAGATAACTTCACATGCTAATTTTATTCCCTTTGTATAAATTCTCAGGCAAATCCACATTGTCTTCCATAATGGTTATACTGATTCACATTCTTATCAATTTATTAAGGTGTATCTCTACAGTCTCATCAGCATTTGCTATTTTTTTGATTTTTGGCTGATAACCATTGTAACTGGGCTAGTGTTCCTGAATATTTTTTCACATGCCTTCAGGACAATTTGTATTTCATCTTTGAAAATCGTGTGTTGATCTACTTTGCCCATTTGTTTTGTGATTGTTGAGTTTCCTGGGCTCCTCTTACATTTCCAGATATTAATTTCTAAATCAGATTCATAATTGCAAACACTTCCTCCCATTCTGTTGTTTGCCTCTTCTCTTTGTCGTGTGTTGCAGAAGCTCCTTCACTTGCTGTGATTCTCATTTTCTGTTCTTGCTTTGATTGCTTGGGTTTCTTAGGACCTATCCACAAAGGCAGTGGATATGCAAATCTCCTGCAGTTTCCCCTATGTATTCTTCTAGTAATTTGATGGTATCATGTCATAGATTTATATTCTTGATCCCTTGTGAGTGATTTTTGTATAGGGTAGGGTTCTTGTTTCATATTTTTATGTGTGAATATCCAATTTTCTGACAACTGTTGAAGTGACTGTTCTTTCAGGAATTGATTTTAGCTCATTTGTCGGAGATTAGGTGGATATAGATGTGTGGATTAGCCTTTAGGGCTTCTATCTTCCATTGGTCTATACTTATTTTTATGCCAGTGACCAGCAGCTTTGACTATAACTGTCTTATAGTTTTTCTTGAAA